AGAGAGAGAGAGAGAGAGAGAGAGAGAGAGAGAGAGAGAGAGAGAGAAAAGGAGAGTAACTAATATCTAATGTTTATAATAAAATTCAAGAGAAAACCGGATACTTGGATAAATAGCGAAGCCTGATGAATTTCCGATATATTAATAACTGTTTGGTTTTGCAGTTTAATCTCATGCGATATATCCACATTGTTATATTCACTTTGAAATGCTCCGCCGCGTTAGCTCTGACCTGCATCGACAGCTGTACATTGATTGTATTCCAAAGTAGACGATATAAATTAGATCACATATTATCATTGCAACAGACAATTTGGAACTATTTAATATGACATATAAATTATTACAAGTTAAAGCGAATAACAAAACGCAGGTATATATAATAATATACCATTTGATGTTATCGACAATATAGTTTACTGCAATAGATCGTTCAACATCGTAATTCTCTCTCTGTATCTCTCTGTACTTCTCTCTCTCTCTCTCTCTCTCTCTCTCTCTCTCTCTCTCTCTCTCTCTTTCTTTCTATGCATGTATGTTTATATCAAAATTCACTGACAAATTTTAACATAGCCCCAAATCATAACACAAATGTATACGGTGGTATTTAAACACTTTGCTGTGCTTAAACGATAATTATATAATTTTGTAATGGTACGTTGACAGCTATAAAATATGGACGCTTATTATATGTTAACAATCTCACAAAATATTTGCGTAATCCGTAATATTTTGTAATTGTGCACCATTATACAATTTTATCGCGTGGAATTATAATTATACATTTACGTAGTAATTTACGTAGTAATTATATGGTATTATATCCGCGCCTATCTGAAGCCACTTTCAAATGTCCTCTCACGTTCCCGCGGTTTCTCTCACGGGTCCACTACACCACTCGCCGAGCACTTGAGGTTCTTTTTTGCGAAACGGCGAATCTCGAACATCCCGAAACCCCGGGGAAAACCACGTGTAGATACCTTTGTCGTATCGCTGAAAAAGCCGAAGGTCGCCACCCAGGGCAAAGGACAACCCATTCGGAGGACGACCGCGTTCGCGCGAGCGATCGCCTAATCCTATTAAAACGTTATCTGAAATCTCGATGCGGTCCTGCGGCGTACGCGTGTGCGTACGTGTGCGCAGATAACCGCCTCTTTTTATCCGTCGCCGATAAGCCCGGCCGAGGAGCTTTTGTCCGACGGTGTAAATCCGCCGCGCCGGAACAAAAAAAAAGGAAAAGAAAAGGGAACAAGAAAAAGAGAGATCAGGATAACGCGCGCACGGATAATTGAACCTTCGGTAAATCTACTCTTTCACTTTCCCTCGTTCGGCCTCTCCTCGATAAGG